CAACATTGTTTTTTGATATAAATATCTAATAAACACATTTTTAATCTCTGTTCTAAAGCACATGTTGAAACTCTCAATTATCAGAATATATATTACAAGCCTGGTCATCGAGAATTTGTCGAATATCTTTAAAAATCAAAGAAAACCCAACAACATCACTAATTCATTAACTAACAAAGCATAATTTTCCTCGAATAATTTCTGGCGTGTTTATTTTTGACATAATCAAAGATGATACCTAGAACATTGCCCGCACGAGCAAAAACTACTATTGCTCCAACCCACAAGCACTCCAACCGTTGAACGACTTTTCTTCATCTAAAAAGGAAAAAAAAAAGTGCAACATATTGTATGTCTTCAGTCAATTGACCTACCCACAAAATCCTTTTCGACTTTCCTTCCCACAAACATTTTGTTTGCCTTGTTTACTGAGCTGAAGTGGGCGAGGGGGCGTTTTATGTTTGTCGAACTTGTAATCTTGTCAAATTTCTGTCTGTCTAGATACCTTTAGATTTTATCTGTCGAGATACCCTAAGACTTTAGAGTGATTTGTTTTGAGTACATAATGAAAGTTTGAATCTTTGTGATATGATGAAATAATTTCCATCACCAAAATTAAGATAAGTTACAAAATTAAATGTCTAAAGAGAAATTTTGAATCTTCTAAAAAATGTTCTAATGATTAAGAACATAAATTTTTATATTAAAAATTTTAAATTTAAATAATATAATATAATATATCAATAAAATAAAATAAAATAAAAAGTATGATTTCTTATTTAATATGTGTAGTAATTATATTTTTAAAATATAAAATAAAATATTTTTAAATATTATAATTAATTTTTTAAATATAAATTTATAAATTTATAAAATATCAATAAAATAAAATAAAATTTATATAATCTTAATAAAATGGAGTTATGGTAAATAAAACCAAGGGGCCACTGCACGTCCTAAACTCCTAAAAAACTGTACAGTTAATATTCTATCTCTTTAAGGTTGGACTCTGCAAATCACTTCACGAGTCTCTATAATACTACAGTACTAGCTTTAATCTACGAGAGAGATAACATGAATCAATAAAAATGACAAAGTTTTGGATTATTCTTCTTCTTATTATTATTATTATGGGTAAATGAGAAATTAACTGTCTAATATTTCAAGAATTTATATTACTTTAACATAAAATTAATATATTTTAATTAGGGAATGCAAACTTGATTAATTTCTTCTAAGCACAAAGTTTTGAACCATTAATTATTTGAACAAAAGCTTTAACATAGTGGTCAAGGTGATTCGGTGAAGTCAGTACTCCACTTGGATTTCAGTCAAACTTTGCATTCATCAGTCAGATTTTTTTGCATTATCCCAGATGTCTCTTCCAACCGTCTCCAGTTAAAGCCTTTCTAGGGTTGTTGCCTTTTCAAAACATAAAATTTTGGGTGATATAGGTTAAGGAAAAAGTGTTTCGTAGGTATATGCACGAATAAAAAAAATATCACCCCATAGTTGGTGGAACCTTTGTGAATCAAAGACAAACTTCATTAATAATAAAGTTAAGAAGTTTTTAATTTAAGTAAAATGATTTGTAAAATATCAAATTTATAAATATATAAATTAATTATTTTTTTATTTTTAAGATAAATAAATATTTTTTATTTTAATTT